GACATACCTTGTTTTATTGCGCTTCACAGATACTGCATTTTTTTTTTTTTTTTACAAATTGAAGGTTTGTGGCAAACCTGCATCGAAGTCTATCAGCGTAATTTTTGCAACAGCATGTGCTCACTTCGTGACTTGGTGTCACATTTTGGTAATTCTTAACAATATTTCACACTTTTTCATTATTATTGTATCTGTTATGGTGATCCATGATCAGTGGTCTTTGAATTTACTATTGTAGTTGTTTTGGGACACTATGAACTGAGCCCATATAAGATGGTGGACTTCATTGATAAATATTGTGTGTGTTTTGACTGCTCCACTGACTGGCTGTTCCCCCATCTTTCTCCCTTTCCTCAGGCCTCCTTATTCCCTGAGACATGACAATATTGAAATTAGACCAATTATTTAACCCTACAGTGGCGTGTAAGTGTTCAAGTGAAGGGAAAAGTTATATGTCTCTCACTTTAAATCAAAAGCTAGAAATGATTAAGCTTAGTGAGGAAGGCATGTCAAAAGCCAAGATAGGCCAAAAGCTAGGCCTCTTGCACCAAACAGTTAGCCAAGTTATGAATGCCAAGGAAAAGTTCTTGAAGGAAATTAAAAGTGCTGCTCCAGTGAACACATAAATGATAAGAAAGCAATACAGCCTTATTACTGATATGGAGAAAATTTTAGTGGTCTGGTTAGAAGATCAAACCAGCCACAACATTCCCGTAAGCCAAAGCCTAATCCAGAGCAAGAGCCTAACTCTCTTTATTCTGTGAAGGCTGAGAGAGGTCAAGAAGCTGCAGAAGAAAAATTTAAAGCTAGCAGAGGTTGGTTCATGCGGTTTAAGGGAAGAAAGCATCTCCACAACGTAAAAGTGCAAGGTGAAGTTGCAAGTGGTAATGCAGAAGCTGCAGCAAGTAATCCAGTAGATCTAGCTAAGATAGTTGATGAAGGTGGCTGCACTAAACAATAGATTTTCAACATAGACAAAATAGCTTTATATTAGAAGAACATGCCATCTAGGACTTTCATAGCTAGAGAGGAGAAATCAATGCTTGGCTTCAAAGCTTCAAAGGACAGGCTGACTCTCTTGTTAGGGTCTAATGCAGCTGGTGTCTTTAAGTTGAAGCCAGTGCTCATTTACCATACTGAAAATCCCAGGGCGTGTAAGAATTATGCTAAATCTACTCTGCCTGTGCTCTATAAATGGAACAGCAAAGCCTGGATGACAGTACATCTGTTTATGACATGGTTTACTCAATACTTTAAGCCCACTGTTGAGACCTACTGCTCAGAAAAAAGATTCCTGTCAAAATATTACTGCTCATTGACAAATCATCTGGTCATCCAAGAGCTCTGATGGAGATGTACAAGGAGATTAATGTTGTTTTCGTATCTGTTAACAACATCCATTCTGCAGCCCGTGGATCAAAGAGTAATTTCGGCTTTCAAGTCTTATTATTTAAGAAATATATTTTGTAAGGCTATAGCTGCCATAGGTAGTGATTCCTCTGATGGATCTGGGCAAAGTAAATTGAAAACCTTCTGGGAAGATTCACCATTCTAGATGCCATTAAGAATGTTCGTAATTCACGGGAGGAGGTCAAAATACGAACATTTAACAGGAGTTTGGAAGAAGTTGATTCCAACACTTATGGATGACTTTCAGGGGTTCAAGATTTCAGTAGAGGAAGTAACTGCAGATGTGATGGAAATAGCAAGAGGACTAGAATTAGAAGTGGAGCCCAAAGATGTGACTGAATTGCTGCAATCTCATCATAAAACTTTTGCAGATAAGGAGTTAGTTCTTATGGATACGCAAACAAACTGGTTTCTTGAGATAGAATCTACTCATAGTCAAGAAGCTGTGAACATTGTTGAAATGACAACAAAGGATTTAGAATGTTACATAAACTTAGTTGATAAAGCAGAGAACAGGGTTTGAGAGGATTGACTCTAATTTTGAAAGAAGTTCTATCTTGGCTAAAATGCTATCAAACAGCATCACATGCTACAGAGAAATCTTTCATGAAAGGAAGAGTCAATTGATGTGGCAAACTTCATTGTTGTCTGATTTTAGTAAGTTGTCACAGTCACCCCACCCTTCAGCAACCACCACCCTAATCAGTCAGCAGCCATCAACATTTAGGCAAGACCCTCCACCAGCAAAAAGATTATAACTCGCTGAAGGCTCAGATAATGGTTTGCATTTTTTAATAATAAGATATTTTTAAGGTATGTACATTTTTTTGTACATAATGCTGTCGCACACTTAATAGACTACAGTATAGTGTAAACATACCTTTTATGTGCATTGGGAAACCAAAAAGTTCGTGTGACTGTCTTTATTGCAATATTGTCTTTACTGTAGTCATCTGGAACTGAAACTGCAATATCTCCAAGATATGCCTGTACTCCAGCATGCCCCAATCCACTAAACTACTTTTTCAGAATTGCTTCAGAGCCAGTTTTGGAATTATGAAAGAAAATTAGCCTCCTTGCCTTATTTTATAAATTAAAAACCTCACTCTTTTCACTAAATGAAGACATGTAACTTCCTCAGTTGACTTTGCATTAATATTTTTTAATTTATAAAGTGAATAATGTTGGTAATGCCTTAAAGTTGTGACTTGTAAGTTATCTTGTAAAGTAAACCTGTGCGAAGAGCAAAGAACATCGCATAACTTTGTGAAGTCATAGATTATAAAAATCAAACTGTTGAGACCTGGATGACTAACTCCCCCCCTTTTAAATTTGCATTTTATCTGAAGTTGAGTGCAGTGCGTTGTGCTCTTCTGCAGATGTAAGTTATGATCTGCCAAATCTAGAGAAAGTGCTATGCCTTTGTGGTGGAAAGAAAGAAAACCATCTGGTAGCAGAAAAAGCCTGAAAGTGGGCTCCTTTTGTACTAACCAAGTGAGCACTATGATCCTGTATTTAAAATATGATCATAGAACTAGTCTTGTTCTTCTTCTTTTTTTTAATTGTGCTTTATGTGAAAGTTTACAATTCAAGTTAGTCTCTCATACAAAAATTTATTTTGTTATGTGACCCTAGTTGCTCTCCCTATACTGTGACAGCACACTTCTCCTTTCCACTCCAGGTTTCCCATGTCCATTCAGTCAGCTCCTGACCCTCTCTGCCTTCTCATCTCACCTCCGGACAGGAGCTGCCCATTTAGTCTCATGTATCTACTTGAGCTAAGAAGCACACTCCTCACGAGTATCATTTTATGTCCTGTCATGGATTGAATTATGTCCCCCAAAAAATGTGTGTATCAGTTTGCCTGGGCCATGATTCCCAGTATTGTGTGATTTTCCTAT